TCACTCTCAGTCACATTAGCAGCTGTGTAGATTATAGACTATCACAGCTGATCAACTAGATTTAATCACATGTTGGTAAATTAATTAAATTCACTGTGAACATTTCTTCTTTGCTGTTTGATGTGTCAGTGATGACAGCTGTCAGCGAATCGCTTAAACGGAGCTAAAAGGAGCTGAAAACGTGATGTTTCTCAGGCAAGTTCTGCACTTTTAGGAACAACTTAATTCTGTTTAACACTGACATTGAATTTTATTTTCAAAAATATTTCTAGAAATTTGAGGTTTACATCTGTGTGTTGAGATTTCATGGAGTGATTAACTGTCTGCAGGCTGATTGTGAAGAGGAGACGTGTACTGACTTCAGGCTTCAGACTGTGGGCTCGTTCTCGTCCATCATCTGAGCAGTCATCATGGACTGGATTCACTCTGTTTCTCTGTGGATTTTTATTCTCAGCTTGGATTTTGTTAAAGGTTATTTGTTAAATAACTATAATTAACTGATGAGTAGGTTTTAAGTATTGATTCGGTTTCATGTGTTGAATGTTTCCAGTGTGACTTTTTTAATGTTCACATGTAATTTATAAACCATTTATTTCTTTAGTTTAAAAAAAGCATAGCAAGTTTCCCGTGACCACGAGTAGAGACAGTTTTACTTCCTGTAAGAGGAAACTGTGAACTCCATCAGTTCACATAAGTGGAAGTGAAAATCGTAATCAAACCATAAACAGTAGTTTCCATTTTTCAGGTTCACAGTGAAGTTGAAGTTACTGAATAAGTCTGATCAACAGATTCATGATCAAAGTCATGGAAACAAAATCATCATCACAGTTGATGATCATCATCACTGACTGTGGAAACAAAGTGGATTTATTCAAGTTTAAGTAGCTCGTTAGTTAAAAATCAGAAACAGAAATTATTATTTTTTTTATTTTTATTATTAAATTGTTATTATTATTTCAGCAGAAACTGATCCAAGAACAATGAAACACAAGTGTTTTATTTAGTTGATCTTGTTTTAATAAGTAACTAATAATGAACTCTATTAATGGCACGGCCTTAATAAAGGCGTCCTGCAGCACGGCTCTCTGATGGTTTCATTATTTCCTTCATGCTGAGGAAAAATCATTGTTTCCATGTTTGTCACAGCAGAACTTCATCAGATTGTTGTTGTTGATTTTTTGTGATTTTTTGTGTTTGATCTTTTTGAACAAATCAACCAACACAGCAGTGATTTTTGTCAGTGTTGTGTTTGACTCACTGTGAAAGGAGTTCTGATGTTGTCTAAAGTTGTGAGTGTGTCTGCTCCTCTCTGTCTCCTCAACAGTATCATTTGTAGTGGATGTGACACAGAGCTCCTATCAGGCAGAGGAGAACCACAACATCACACTGGAGTGGACGTTCACCAGCAAACCTGACACGTCCATCTCAGCACTGAAGATCCTCTGTTACATGAATAATGATCATAAACACATAACTCTGTATTTTCTTCATGATGGTGTCGAGTTCTCAGAGGATCAGGACAAAAAGTTTTCAGGACGAGTCCAGAGTGACAAAGACGCCCTCAGAGAAGGACAAATCAGACTCCAGCTGTCCAGACTCAGGACTGAGGACTCGGGTCTGTACCTGTGTGAGGTGGACACAGGTTATGGCCGCGGCTACAACAGCTGCAGAGTCACCGTCTCTGGTAAGAAAATTCATTTAGACACATGTGATCACTGTGAGCTGTTAAACTGGATCAAGGTTGGATCCTGAGAATTATGAAAAACAAAAAATCTCTTTAGATAGTTTCCACTTTCATAACATCAGTGTCCTTATAAATATCCTGTTTGAATGAGTTCCTTAGAACAGCAACTGTAGCTGATCGTCTGCCCCACCTTCACTGACTTTAGTCCATAAACTGGATCTCCTTCACTGTTCTAGAGCTGATGTTTCCTTTTGGAGCATTTTTAATAGAATTACCAGAAAAACTGTGTAGTTAGAAAATTACATCAATAAACTGCATCACACAGACACACACCTGCTAATTAGTGCTGAGTACAGTAACAGACCTGTAGGAAGTCTACACAGAGATGATATGAAGGTAAAAGTATCCATGGAGACCAACACTGGTTGATGTAGAAGACTGTAAACATGGTCTTTTCTGCTTTAAGTTGGACTTTTTAACACAAGAGTCTTTGTGGCTTACACACACGTGAGGCTAATTCTTCATGGAGCTGCTGGTCCAGGTAACATCCCTGAAGGAGGCCTCAGAGTCTGAGTCGACCACAGAAATCCACAGTGTCCAACCTCAGTGACACGGTTACTGAGCAGCTTCATCAGGACATGTGAGGAAACCAACACTGAAGAGCTACAAACTGTTTCTGTCATCACAACATTGTTTTTGTTTTTGGGTTCTTCATTGTTGGTTTCATGTTTCAGTTTTGTAAGTTTCCACTTGGTAGAAATAAAACTGTGTACAGAGCTGAGGGCAGCTTAGTTCACTGTCAGAATATTACATCAGTTTTTAAGTTCAATCAAAATAATTAGAAATATGTTTTATATTATTTTATTTCATTTTACTTTATTTCAGAATCAAAGCCTGAGAAGACAGAAACAACTCAGCAACCTGGAAGTCTCCAACCACCAAATCTGAATGAAGAGACCAAAGGTAAAAAATAAAGTCTTTACAGTTTACAAAAACCTAAATGTCATTCACTATATTGCTTATATACAGTTCAGTCAGGAGATATGGGCCAAATCTGAGAACTGTATTAATTTACCAGAACAGAAAACACTCCCATCCAGTTTTCTAGAAATGGATTTCGTTCAGTCTCAGACTAAAGAGAGTCCTAAGCTCGTTCTATAGAAGTGAAACTGAGTCTGTGTAGTGTTGGGCTAATGAAAGGTAGTGGTAGGGAGGTAATGAAACATCAGGCTAACAATACAAACAGTTTTCATCTTAGGTCATCTTTGAAAATCTGGAAAACAACAAAGTAAAATCCTCCCATAAACCTGCAGCTCTTTCAGGTAAACATACTGAGGTTCTGATTCAAAATGTCAAATATCAGTTTTATCCAGTTCTGGGTTTCGGGGACTCGAGTCTTTCCTGGTTATCATTGGGCAAAAGGCCCGATGTAAGCTGGAGGTCACCAGACTGTAAGTGGTGATAAATTAAATTCTCTGTGCATCAGAAACATGTAAATAAAGTCTGGTGTTCACCTCTCACAGTAATACTGGTTATTTAATGGTTAATTCCACTTCCTGTCTTTTAAATGTGCAAATTTACATCATTAACACAGAACTGTGTTTTTACTGTTTTTGTACCTTAGGAATTTCTTTGTCAGGCCGGCTAATTATCTTCGGGGCTGTATTCATCTGTGCCTGTCTGAGCGCATGGGGATATATGTGTTATCACAATTCTAAATGACACGTAAGTCTGTCAGAAAAAAAAAAATTTTGTTTTAAGTGTTGTAAATTTAAAATTATCAAAACAAATTTTTACAATTTGTGTCACCATATCGTTTGCTCTGTCACAATTTAAAAGTTTCTTAAACTTGTGTTCAGTATAACTCAGTGAATCTTTTAATTGTCTTCAATTTTAAACAGAAGAAGTCTTCATCCCGCAGAGCAAGGGAGATATTGATGAAGACTTTTTCAGAAGTTGGACCTTAGAACCAACAGAGGGAGAAAAACAACAACAAACTCGAGAGAAAAGAATTGAATTCAGGGCTTCAGTCCAATATTGATATATTTATATTGATATCCTTCAACTCATCTGAGCTGTAAATATCAAAAGACATTAAAATAAAAACAGGATAAATTGAATTTGAGGTAAAACACAAACAGCATTAACAGGATGGAGCTTCATGTTTTGTGCTTACTTTGTTTAATAAACTTTTTTTTATCACTTTTGTTGACAGTAAAATTGTTTCTGTACTTCTTATTTGTTCATGTGTGCTAAAAAAGCAAAGTAAGAAAAGTAGTTGGACTGATATTTACACTCGTGTCTCTTTTTAATGCAACATCAAAACAGCAGAAACCTGAGTGAGAAGAACTCTGACTCACATAAAGATTCATCAGTTTGTGACGTTCACAATACAACTAATCAGCACAGCTGCAGATTCTGTTATAAATGTGTGTTTTATGAGAGAAACTGGATTTGTTTCTTAGATTTTTTAGTGTCAGCTCATCAGTGAACTGTTCCTCACAAAGATTCCAAGATCTTGGTTAGGTTTATGTTCCCAATCCAAAGTTTTTCCCAGGATAGAGCTGCTCTAAACCTGCAGCTAATCAATTTACTCACAGGGACAATCAGGGAATGGGAGACAGGAGGGCAACACAGCTGGGAGAAATAAGAGCTGACGTGACAGGGGAAACTTCAAAGTAAAACAGCAAGTACGACATACATGCATAAGCACAGACATAACACTATGACAACAGAGGGAACCCAGAGACGTGGGACCAGGGCAGGCACAAAGAGAGCTTTAACTATAATCCTGAAACCAAAACCAAAGAACAAGAAAACAAGAATGAACCCGAAACATAAGATAATCATAATCAAAACAAAAACCACTGAGTCTACAGACTCAGGGCCCTGACATTTCCTGTGTCTAACCCGCGATCAGTGTCCAGTGAAGAAATGCTTCTGTTGTTGTATAAAAATGTGCTTTGTTGTCTTTTTTCTCTTCTTAAAATGTTTACTTTTGCTCTGTTGCCTGAATTTGTCATCACTTGGATGTGTTCATGTGTTTATTTCTGAGTAGCTCTATAATTGTCTTATTGATCAGTTCTACCTCTTGTGTCCTGTATCTCTGCACTGCTCACAGCTGTGACAACAACTCAGTATAAAAGATCTGGAAATATCATGGAAATATATTTGTTAATACCAAACTGTATATAATATTTTTAAAATATTTAAACTACATTAATATAAAAGAATTACAATTAAATTCAATTGAATTCTGTGTCAAGAAGTTTTCACATCATGTGAACGTTTAAAATATCACAACTCTGACTTTCTGTGACTCGTCCTCCAGTCTGGAATAAATATCGACCAACATGAGACTTAAATCAGATTTCCACCTCACCATGAAGGCTGATGGGGTGTTGTCATGACTCCAGTGGGTCAGCCGAATGGACACCCAACACTGAACATGATAAGTGGAGAACGAGGAGATGTAGCATTTTCAGACAGATGCCCTTGACTTCCGTGTCGTGTCTTCACCCACAAATCCGTGCTTCGTGCTCTTCTGCTCCTGTGTGTCACTGCTCTTGTCTTCCTTGCTCCTTCCTGGAAAAAAACAACAAAGAAGCAACTTGTCAGGACACTCGACTACCGCTTGGCATGCACTCACTGGACTTGACATTAATCGACACTAACGTGGAGTCTCACACAACGATCCCACAATCGGTAAAAGATTGTCTAACACCCAGGGAAAACAAGTCAGTGTTTCCTGCAACCGCTTCTCCGCAGCGCGACGTAAACCCTCCTCGTGCGCTTCCAGCAACAGGTCACACAGATGATTTACCTTGTCTGTCACCTCCCTCCTGAACGTCTCCGAAAAGTCCGCTGGGTCCATCTGGGGTGGGATCGTTCATCCGAGGCCAACACAGGCTCCTCTGGCTTGGTGAACTCCACTGCCCGCTTAGCATGCTCCTCCTGCTCGCCGAGCTCCTCTATCAATGGTGCGCGCTCCTCCCGCTAACCAAGCTCCTCTGCCGACGGTGCGCGCTCCTCCCACTCGCCGAGCTCCCGCTCTGGCTCACAGAGCTCCTCAGCTAGCTGCGCGGGCTCCTCCCGCTCGCAGAGCTCCTCCAGCTGCAGCACGGGCTCCTGCTCCGGCTCGCTGAGCTCCTCATCTGGCGGTGATGACGGTGACACGGCAGCAGCAGGCGGTGGATGTGGTGGCAGAGTAGTGGATGTGGATGGTGGAACAGATGACAGCTGAACTACAAGCTGGGCAGCTGACTGAGTTGAGGGTGATATGGCTATCATGAAGGGTGGAGAGGATGATAATGTTACAGCTGGCTCAACAAATTCCAGGGGTCCAGAGGCAACTGAGGCCTCCAGTTCGGCCTCTGGGGAAGCCCTGGGGAGAGCCTCCGTCTCCATGTGGCCAGACTGGGCTAACAAGTCATCTGGGTCTGCATGCTCTGAGCTCCCTAGCTCCAACCTCACAGTCTCAGAGTGAACATTTTCTGAGTTTTTGGAGGTAGAGCAAACAGTTTCTGACCTCTCTGACTCCAAGCTAACTACTTCTGGGCTGACAAAGCAGAACTCTGCCCCAGAATTAGCAGTCAGACCACATTTGTCTGTTGGTGGTCCAAAAATCCAAAAATCTCCACTGGGGGTTCAGTTACACCCAATGGTGAAACTGTGAAGGCCTTCACAGTGTTTACTGCCGTAGCAGCCATAGTCTCTATTTCCATGTTTTCAGGGAGGGAATTCGCAACCTTTGCAGAGTCTATTTTACTCACTGTGGCGTCCTGAGCCGCTGGTCCTGAGTCCTCAACAACCACGGGAGTGAATGTAGATGTGGCTGAACGCTGCTTGCGAGGATGCCGTGTGTATGGAAACTGTCCTCCTCTGTTCATCTGTGTTTTGATTCTCAATGACAGGATTTATTGAAACAATAGAGTCTGGTTTACTCACTGCGGTAATGAATGCTGTCGGTCCATGGCCAGCTGACCGGGCTGAAACCGCAAGAGTGGGTGGATAAGGTGGTGATGGCGATGTCTCTTCTGTATTGGAGGGTCCAACAATTGTGCTGAAAGCATCGACGGGAAAGCCCACCCCCGATGCGTAAAAAAAACCAGGCAGCACGGACCTCTGGGAGAGCAACCAAACTTTCCTTGCTCGGGTCGCCCAAGCCAAAACAATTCAAAGCTAGAACTATTCCTCAAATTAGTGACTATTAGAGTTAGTTCGTTAATGATAGTGATCAATCAGTAACTTCGCGATATGGCAAGTCTTTGGTAAGATGACTGGGTGCTTGACGTGTGGCTGCAATGTAGAACGCTCTAATCTACCTCCCACTCTAAGAACACCCTTCTCATCCAGGAAGGGATCGAGTCGATAGAGTCTATTTGTTCTGTCCTTGGGTAGATCCTTTTGCGTTTGAAGTGCTTTGATTTCCTTGCAGAAGACTGATCTTTGTACAATGGATATGATTTTAAGCTCGGCTTCTTTCCTTTCTTCAAGGTTAGTGGCTTTATTGCTTCTCCTTTCCAAGCCCTTAAACTCTTTCGCAAATCTGAGAGAAGTCTTGCCATAGCTTTGACCAACCATGACCAACTGGAGAATTTCAGAAAACGTTCTGCCAAAGAATCTGTTTTATGGAGTACAACAGCTTTGCGTACTTCTGGATCCTCTGCATCAAGTTTTCCCACCTTGACTTCTCTGTGGGGAAGTTTCTCTTGCCAAAGAAAACTTGGACCGCTAAACCAGTTGGAGGTAATGAGGTCTTTGGCCTTCAGTCTGTGCGACGCATGGTCTGCTGGATTGAGATCTGATACCACAAACTTCCATTGCATCAGTTGAGTGCTTTCCTTAATACGCTGAATGCGATTTGCAACAAAAACATGGAAACGTCTCGCATCGTTGTTGATATATCCCAAGACAACTTGAGAATCTGTCCAGAAGAATTCTTGAGCATCTTCTAGCTCCAACTCTGCTTTGAGCATGTCACTAATCCGCACTACTACAACTGCTGCAGACAGCTCCAATCTTGGCACCGTAGTAACCTTCTTGGGTGCTACTCTGGACTGGGCAAAGACAAGAGTGCAGTGGACTTGTCCTGCTTCACTGACAGCTCTCAGGTACATACAAACACCATACCCTGAAACACTTGCGTCTGAGAAATGGTGAAGCTTGTACTTCTGAACTGTTTGAAAATCTCTTGGCACGTAACATCTGTCAATTTTGACATCTGTTAGATTTTTTAGATCCAACAACCAGGACTCCCACCGTGACTTCAGATCGCTTGTGAGTGGTTTGTCCCAATCTGCTTTCTCACGACACATTTGCTGTAGTATCTGCTTCCCAAGTAGAACAAAAGGTGCCACAAAGCCAAGTGGATCGTAAATAGAGGCTACCGTGGACAACACTCCTCTTCTGGAAAGTGGCTGCTCGTTCACAACTACTCGAAACTGGAAATGATGTGAGTCGATGCACCATTTGACACCTAGGGCTCTTTCAATTTGTTGCTCGCCCAGTGACAAGTCTTTTCTTGCTGTTTCTGCACAATCTTCTTCTGGCAGCGAATTAAGTACTTGCTTACTGTTTGAAACAAACTTGTGAAGTCGCAAGCCTCCTATGCTGCAAAGTTCCTTTGCTTCCTTCACCAAACGAATTGCCTCTTCTTCTGAGTGGAAACTGAGAAGAGAATCGTCCACATAAACATTTCGCTCAATGAATCTTATGGTAGCTTCACTGAACTTGTCTTGACCTTGTGCAGCAATATACTTGAGACCAAAGTTCGCACAGGCAGGCGTACTTTGCTGAGCAATCAAACACCACTCTTATTTTGCCAGGCTTTTGAGGATGATACACTCCATGGTGTGGAATGTACCAGGCAGGGCTTTTGTCCAGGTCTACAGAGGGAACTCTTTCTGCATCACCACGCTCTATAGTCTCTCTCATGAACTCTGTGTAGTCTTTGTGGTGTTGCTTGTCCTTCTCAAATCTTCTCTTCA